GAAAAAGAAAACTCAAGACATCCCAAGAAGCATTTGGAGTTGGGAGAAGGAATATACATGTACAATTTGAAACCACTAAAACAAAAATCAATGCAGATAGACCCTGAGTTGATGCAAGCAGAAATTTACATTTATATCTGTCCTGCCCCTATGTATTCATTGTCTACATAACGTACAGAAAAGGAGTTGCAGAACTGGTTAATATAAAGCATATTGGACATTGAGAAAGGGCCTGGTTTGGATTCATAAAGACTATCATAGTTCATATTGGTTTGAGCACTAGACTACAACTTTAAAGACCAAGGTTCAAATTCCCACTCAGCTTGGAAACCCACTGGATAACCTTGGGCATGTCACAGTCCCTGCACCTCAGAGGAAGGTAAAGGCAAATCCCCTCTGAACAAATCTTGCCAAGAAAAACCTGTGATAGGTTCACCTTAGGTTGTCATAAGATGGAAAGACTTGAAGGCACACAACAACAACAACAAACCATGGTAAGCCTATGGAATTTCCATAACTTTTTATTAGAGTTCAAAAACATTTTGTTCCACCAAGTATACAGTTGTCCCTCCCTGTTCACGAACTTCAAGTCCGTGGTCTTGTTCTTTGTGGGAGAGACAAGCAGATAGGGACAAAATGGTGGTGCGCACCTGCGCACATGTGCATACACCATTATTTTCAATGGCGCTCAAATATTTGCGAGCTGCCATTTTCACAGGGGTGGTGGTCCGGAACGGATCCTCCACAAATTGGGAAAGGCTACTGTATTTATAATGCAAACTGAGGAAATGAGGGCAAAACTTGACAAGCTATTTGTCCTTACATGGATCATGCCAGAGAGAGGAGAAATTAACTTTTTGGTCCTATCACTATCCTAATGATTTGCTGCATTTACTAGCAGGGATTTGGTTCAATAGAAATCATGCCATGGCCCCAATCAGGCTTCCTTTCCTTCAACACTGACCATTAGTTTCTTTTTTAAATAGCCATATGAGCCAAACAACATCATCTAGTTTAGCCATCTGTACAGATTAGGATTTTAAAATAAAATAACATGCCCTGTAGTGGTTCTCTAATAAGAATCATTTTGTTTAATAAGGAGATAAGATTCTATAAGGGGTGGGGTACACATGAAGAACAAGATACATGTGACATATAGTTTATATAATATGTGGTCCAAGACGTATTAAATATTGAAGAACATCTATAATTATATTCTTTGATTTAATCATTAACATAAAGACATGCAGTTCTTAACATATGCCCTGGCACAGTGAAATCACATACATAATGAAATTTCTCCTCTATGTGTAAATTTCAAAAAGAATACCCAAGAGCTGGTAAAATACCAATGCTATTGTATCTGAGTGTTCAAAACAACTATTCTTTTTCTTGTAGAATGGTTGAGATTTTGCAGTTCTAGAGGTGTAGCATTCTATTCTTGATCGCCAATACAGTTCTGTCTAGATATATAGGAACAATGACAATTACAATATGATAGAAGCTGGAGTTCCATGCCAGATATTCCAAGTGTGGGGACTTCAGAGTTTGGGTTACATTCAGGCGTCTTTGTGTTTGTTGTCGTGTGCCATCAATTTGTTTCTGACGTATGGCAACCCTAAGGTGACAGTATCACAAAGTTTTCTTGGCAAGATTTGTTCAGAGTGAGCTTCTGCCTCCCTCTGAGGCTGAGAGTGTGTGATTTGTCCAAGGTCACCCAGTGAGTTTCCATGGCCAAGCACGGATTTGAACCTAGTTTCTAGAGTCATAATCCAACTCTCAAACCACTATATCACACTGCCTCTACATCAGGGTGATATCAGGGTAAAAACTGACACTTTTACTTGTGAATGTAGACATCAAGTGACAAACATTTCAATTAATGCCATCCAATCTAAATTTGCCAAGGTGACCTGAGAGCCTCTCAATTCAAGCAAACTTAAAAATTAGTCCTGCTTAATATTCACCTCTTGGATTAAGCATGAATATAGCTGTAAATTTGAATAGTTAACACACTATGTTTAACATTGTCTCTTTTTATACTTTCTACAAGTAATCATAACTCACTCTAATTTTTGTCAACATAACAAAAAGAACAAAATATGTGGGTTAAAATAAAGTTTATGAACTTTTTGCACTAGAATAATACTTTTGTTCGCATTTTTTCTTACTATATTGATCCTTTCAGTATCTTTATTCCTCAATTTTAACAATACTGATAAAGAATAAATTATTTAACAACAGATAAATTTCTGCAATAGCTATGTAATAATAATAGTAATATTTATTTATACCCTGCCCCTCTGCTTAGCAATCGAGGCGGCTTCCAACATAAAAAACAATACGGTAAAATCAACCCTAAGCCCGAACCCTCCCAACCCTTAAAAATTTATTAAACAAAGACCAATTTAAAAGCTATTTAAAACAAATTGCAAATTTTAAATTAGATTAAACATGGCAGCAGAGGATATGATAGCGGTCGGAATGGGGGGGAAAGAGGTTCAGGGAACAAGTTCTCTGACTGTATACAGTTTTGGAAGTTCTGTGCATTTGATTAGTATAAATAGCTATTTATATATACTAATTCAGGTCACCCCAAAATAGGTTCAACTTATGTAAATAGATAAAAGGTCTGTATAGAACCGTTCAAAGAGAAAAACTGGAAGACATACTTCTCAACAAAAATATATGGAGAATATTTCTTTGAAATATAAAGATGCAACTGTCTGGAGAAGCTATGTCTGTTATCCAGTAGAGGTGATATAAGAGGCAAAAAACCAATTTATGTATCTTTTCCATCATGACAGCTGTGACAATGACTCAAAATACTATGCCTGCCAAGAGCTTTTATCAAGTATGTTATAACAACCAGTAATAAGTGTAAATAATAAATGCCTAAAATCTTATGGGAAGCAGCAGCAATAGTAAACAATTTTTGGTGCTTGCTGATGGGAATTTGCTGGTCTTGAAACTCCCTGGTTTCTCAGTAGAGGTTTGGCCTGACAATAAACAACAGTTTAATACTTTATCTAATCCCAGCCAGGAGGTGAATTCAACAGCAAGCTTTTGCAGATGTTCACATCCAATAATCTATCCATAATTGATGAAACAGGGAGGTCAGATGTAATGGTTGCTACTACTCCAGCAACAAATAAATGGTTATTGACAAAACAAGCCAGTGTGGCTCAGAGTGCTGAGCAGCGACAAGTCTGAAAACTGTACAGAGGCAGAAGTAGGGATAAGGACACAGTCTTTCAACTTGAGGATTTTTCACTATAATGTGTACTATAAAGGCCATTAAGGAGCACACAAACAGATGGAGAGAACTTGTGAAGGAGCAAGGTTTTCCAGAGATGGTAAAGAAAACAATGAGCTAAATATGAATAAGATGACTGAAGATTTGGGTAAGTAGAAATGCACGTTCTTATACAGCAACACTGTTGTCCACATGTCTGGATAGCTTTTTATCACAGCAATATGCTATACTAATATACCTAACTGGCAGCATGATATTGCTTTTTATAATCTTGATATTATTGTGTGTGTACGTGTACATGTATGTGTAAATATGAATATACTAGAGTAAATTAATAGTTGCAAATGTTTTTATACACCCACATACATACAAATAATCATACACATATAATGTATGCAAGTATAGAAGTCTTCCAGTTTCACTTCAATAATTTATACTTATTATTCATTTCTACCAATTAATATTTGCAATACACTAGTGATATACGTAATTTTGTCTTCAGTGAGAGGCTAAAGATGAGTTTATAGACATAAACTTACTAACTAAACAGGCAGTTTGGGTAATCAGTTTCTTTTTGAAAAATATAGAAAAAAATAACTGTTCAAAATATATTGTTAAGCCTAAACATGTTATAGAAATGTACTTCAATATAGTATTATGCATGATTTTTTTTAACCTTACAGCTACAAATAACCACAGGAATCAAGGACACATTTAAATACTAATTTTTACAATGTTTACTGATATAATAATATGTAACACAGTGGAGTGAAATAGTAGTATCATTACCATGTAAAACATTGTAAAAAACATTTCAGATAGTAATCGTTTAAATACTGATATAGCTATATTCATAGCAGGGAACATTAGGTTGATTTATTTCACAGTTTACTACAAAGCTTTCTGATCAGAACTGAAATAAATATACATATGATGAAAATTAAGTAGCAGAATGAACTGGAGCAGCCAATATTTGAGGTGTTATTGTGTAAAGAATATTAATCTGTGTGCATCTGGGGACTTCCCCTCTCCCAATAATTTGTATCAGGTATTTACTCTCTTGCTTTTTTCCTATGAAACTCCAGCAGTATGGAAAAATATAATTTTCAGACTATAAAATATCCTTTTATAGCCATTGCTTACATTTATAGCCCTGAAAGTAATATTCTGAAGAACTTTGCTGAATTTAGTTCTAAATAACCTGTTCCTTTAAAAATTTTATTAAACGTTTTGCATTTATCCACCTTTAAAAGGCATGGATAATGTGAGCACTGCTATAATATGAACATACTTATATTTGATTTTATATGTCTTATACATTTTGTGTTAAATTCTTTCTACATAGAGAATTACCATGTTGAAAAAATTGTGTACACAATGAAAAAAATGTAGGGAAAAATTCAAGGGTAACTATGAAGTCAAGAGCTTAAAAGAATATATATTGAGTCCTTGGTATCTGCTGGGGTTTGGTGTCAGGATTCCCTGTGGATACCAAAATCTGAGGATGCTCAAGTCCCATTAAATATAATGGGATAGTAAAATGGTGTCCCATATATAAAATGGCAAAATCTAGGTTCACTTTTGGGAATTTATATATATTTTAAATATTTTCAAACCGTGGATGCTTAAATCAATGGATAAAAAAATATGTGGATATGGAGGACTGACTGTAGCTAACTTTACAGAACAGTTCCATACATATCTACTCAGCCAATGGATCTTCATATAAGATGCAAATAAAGGATTTTCATCTTATATTTATTGATATTATTTTTATCTGATAGTCAACCCCCCCAACTGAACTGTCTTATTTCTATGTAGACATATATTGTTGTTGTATGCCTTCAAGTTGTTTCCCAGTTACGGTTTTAATATTGTAATAATTTAATTCTGTTTTATTGTAACACTTTTCTATGTTTTTAATTGTACTGTTTTAATCTTGTAAGCTGCTCTGAGTCCCAGTGTTGGGGACAGGGTGGGATATAAATAAATAAATAAGGCTAATTTATCATGTAGTTGCCATTGCCTTTCTCTGAGATATGTGACTTGCCCAGTGGGTTTCTATGGCTGACCAGGAATTTGAATCTTGGTCTCTTGGAGTCCCGGTCCATCAATCAAACCACCACATCACACTAGCTCTTTATGTATAATATTGTGTTTAGTTTTCCATGTTTTCATATTAGCTCATAAGTGCATTTGTAAAACCATCAGTTGTTCTCTTTAACCTATTTCCTTTAAAAATAAAATAAAATGTATGAACTACATTAAACCTTTATATGGTTGTGGGAGGGATGCCAAAATTTAATTTGACCACTGCTTTGCAATCTAGAGCACTGCACATATAGTGTTAATTCAGTACCCTATCAACTCCGCAAAGAATGTGATTATGATTACTCCTTAGTCATCTACATAGTCTGTCAGACGATTAAAATGTACCAGATATACAACAGTATAATAGCCCATTGCTATTATGTTCACGCTGTTTTCTTTCTGTCTCTCTGTCCTCTCTCTGTGCAGCTGATGCCAAAAATCCTGCAATGTAATTCTAGGGCAAGAATGGAGGCAGTGTAAGTTAGTACAGTTGCATTCCAATAAATTGCATGCAAATAATAGTCATATTATTCAAAAACAATGACTGATAAACATCTTATCCCAAAGCAGACATTGAGTGTCACTACAAAAAGAGAGGCTGTTGCTCCATTTCAATAGGCTGGCCCCATTTTAATAAAGATTTTTGATCTGTGCACAACTCACAATAGGACTCAAGTCTGAGGATAGAGTAGTGCATGAAGTGAAGTCAAAAGAACAGAGGCCAATTTTTTGAATCTACTTCCTTACAGAAGTATATTTTGGAATGTAGCAGAAAACAAAGCAGAAATTGACCTGCTTTCCAAATTACTGGTTACACAGGAAGCTAATGACTTGTTTCCTGGTATATCTCCCAAATTCAGCTCAGCCTTTTATTTCCACTATCTAATTCCAGTGAGGGAGCGGGATTCCTGAATTAGTGTCTGGAAGAGTTTTTGGATGAATGAAGGCAAATACGTTGAAGCTAAGTCTTGACAAGGTGGCAGGTCTGTGGATTTGTGAAATCCTGAAGGTTTGTTGTATTCCACCGAAGAGTCAAGAACACAGCTCTCTCAATGGTGGCATAAATGGCAGGGCAGAAGTGTTACACCTTCAATCACCTTCAGAAGGTTCACCAGTTTTAGCCTTATCTGGAGAAACCAAACCAGTGACTCATGCTGTGGATTCATCCAAGCTGGCTGGATTACTCTATGCAGGACTGGCTTCAAAATTTCAGATTTTTCAATGGGCACAGAATACAGCAGCAAGGATGCTTGTAGTTAACAAGCAAACAGAACACATTATATTGATTCTGTACTAGTTACATTAGCTATCTGTTTGTTTCATGGCCCACTTTAAAGTGTTGGCTTTGGCTTTAAAGCCCTCAATAATTTGGTATCAGGTTTCCTGAAGGACCACCTGCACCTGTATGAACCTGCCTGAGCATCAGGTACATGGGGGTGCTGCTGTCCGGTTTAT